AAAGGCTAAGTAAAATAGGTTACCTAGGACATCCTGACCTTTGGTGCCTAGACTAAAGATGGGTAGTTTTCCATGGGATTCTCCATCAAGGAAATCAGACTCTAGTTAACCCTGGAAACGGCCTCAGCAAGAATACAAGATGGAGGAACCTCTGCACTGTCTTGTCCTGTCACAGTGTATTTTCTGATTCAGTCAAATCTGCACTGGTTCCTCATGTGGCTAATATCTACAAAGCTCTTTGGGTACCTAGTCCCAGGGGCAAAGGCTACTCTCTTGAATAGGAACGTGGTAGAAGAGGCGAGTTAAGAAAGCATGGATGAATTTAAATTCCAGAAGCTTTGTAACTGCTACTATAATAGCAAATAGAACCGTGATTGCTAACAGCACATAATGCGAGCGCTTTATCTACCAGGTTATTTTATGAAAATATTCTGGCAACCATAAAATTAAAAACAAAACAAACAAACAAAAACACGATAAGCTTCAGTGTATAGCACCTCAAACTTCCCGACAATGGTTCGATATCCACAACAGAATTTTGGAAGCTGTGTCCTTCTGAGCAGCCTCCGCGCGCACACCCCGGTCCCTCCCCTCTCGTGTCCCAGCCCCGCAGCTCCTCTGACCTGGGAGGTTCCAGGGCCGCCGGGCTGCGGTTCCCGCCGCTGCGCTGCTGACTGGTGACTTTCCCAGGACAGCGGACGTGGCACCTGTGGCTACCGGGAGTTTTCACGTCCTCCTAGGGAAGCCGGTGTCCTCCGCCCCGGATTCTGGACTACGCGGCTCCCCGAGGTCCCACAGTGAATGGTGGATTTTCCTGTCACTCTTGCCTAGCTCCTTAGAGCTCATCCCTGGCCACGCCCACTACAACCCGGATCTGGTCACGTGTGGCTCTTCTAAACTGGCTCTGGTCAGACGCTTTCCCTTTCTTAATTAGTTTTCCCAGTACACTCAGCTTTTTTTCTCTTCTTCATCATCCCTCTGCGTGGGTGAGTCCCCCCCACCTCCCGCCCCGAGCCTCGCCTCGCCCACTCGGTCTCCGGTTGCCTTCCACACAGCTCCAGCTGTCAGGCTGCCCTGCACCCGCTCTGCACAGCCTCCCCACATGCTCGCTGCCAGCCTGGACCAGATCTGGATCTAGGAGGACGCTGCAACCTGGCCTCTGACCCCATCAGATATAAATTATCCTGCCTAAGTTCTCATCTTGAAATATCAGCTTTCCGTGCTAAAAACGCACTGCGAAAGACAACAAACACCCTAAATTTTGATTTTTTTTGTTCCATTCCCAAAACACAATGTTAAAACTGAAGGGATCCGCCCACAGCAGGGTGCTCTCTCCCTGGCCCAGGATTAGGCACAAACCACCTCCTAACATCTGTTTTCACAGAGATCTTTTATTAAGCTGTGGAGGAGAAAATTAAAGTGGCTGGTCTCTGACTCAGGCAGAAAAACATCAGCAAATGACATCGCATGTGTGGTTTTTAAGAGGAAAAAAGGGGGGCATCTGTGTTAGAATGGACTGGGATGCAGTGGTATATTTTGATTGGGCGTGTTAATTAGGTTAGTCAAAGGGGGCTTTTGATTGCTGGGATTAAATACTTGATAGCTAGACCTTGGTAGTCAAGGTCTGGAGGAGGAAGTGGCCAAATACGGGAATAGTCCTTGGTGGCTAGCTTTAATAATGTATTTTAATGTTTTTTAGCAATTAAGAGGGAATCGGAGAAGGGCAAGGCCTGCCCGAGCCATGTTTGCAGCGCTAGGGCTTGCTAGGGCCCCTTTAAAAACTAAGACAAAATTCCACTGACTCAAATCACAAGCTGTAGCTGTGTCCCCTAAGGAAAGCAATTTGAATGATATCTGTTATACAGAACTCAAAACCAGAGTAATGCTCAAGGAGGCCAAAGCATGTGAATGAATTCAAAGGGAATAGGAGCAAAATGATTGATGGGCGAGAAAACACTAGCAAATGACATTATGAAATGAGGACAATGTAGAATATAAAAATTGAATTCAAGAAATGTTAGAAACACTGAAAAATAAAAACCTAAACTGAAATGTAACAAAAAATGAAAAATGCAACAAATCTAATAATAACTCAAAGAGATCCAGTAGGAAGGAGACTGTCAGGCTTGAAGACAAAGTAGAGGAGCTGAATGGCTTGGCCAGAGAAAATGATAAAGCAAAACAAAATGTTCCACGCAAGTAGCACTAGTTAAAGGTAAAAGTGATTTGCAGCTGCATGATCTACTCTTATAAGAAACAGTCTAAATTTTAGACACGGTAACTCCCTCTGGATAGCCTTACTGAGAAGCTGGATAATCATTACCATCACTATGCAAATGAAGTGACACTAAAAAGTCATCTTTATCCTTCCCTCACAGACCTCCACTACTGCCAGTCAAACATCTGGAAATGCACTATTCGCAATATCCTGAAGATGTTTCAGGAACTCAGGATTTTAAGAGGAAATAGATATCTCAGGAAGTCAGAGGTCAGTTTCAAATCTGGGACACATGACTGAGGTGCCTATTTAACATCAAAGTGGACCTGGTCTTCAGGTTCTCCCAGCATCCCTCAGTTCCTACCTGATACAGGTATGGCTGGCATACCCCAACCTCTACCCTTACCTTTCCAGCCCAGGGGCTGGGGTACCCTTACCCCACAGGTTCTTTCCTATATAATCCAGACATTTTGGTTACCCACCTCTTTTGTACCTTTGGCCTCCTGGCTACTGCACCTGACTGGTTCCCCTCTCTTCCTATTTCTCCCCCTTCCCCTCTCCTGCAAGGTCCAACTCAGTCAGGTCATGTCCACTCTGAACTCCTCCAGATGTCCCTGTCCATGCATCTACCTACACTCTCCCTTTTATCTATAATAAACTTTCTCCTCCACCATACCTAAGATCAGCCATG